CCCCCCCCGCTCCACTTAAGATGAACTCAGTGCTCCCCTAAGCAGGCACTGCGCCTCTGTCCACCCCCCTTCCCATTCCTGAGAGCCACTAGAGATCACCAGCGACAATCTCTCTGCATTGCCCTTGTCTTAGCTAATCGTGTTTCCTTGGGGCCAGAACATAGCGGTCCTGCCATGCCTGCCTGCCTGCCTGCCTGCCTGCGCGTAGCCTCCTGCTTTCCCAGTTTGTCCAGGTTGTGGCATGCGTCAGGACTTCTTTGTGGACGGAGGCCACACCTGCTGTTTTTTCCATCACCTGTTGTAATCATTGCTTTTAGAAGAATGAATACCAAACTAGTCGGAAGGAGTTAGAGGTGAAAGGTGCCCCAAATATCCCTCTTTCCCAAGATGTTGTACTGACTGCTCCATTCCCTGACCCCTGTCGACCCCGTTAGCACATTCCTGCACGTCCTTGGGTTCTGCGATTTGCTGCCATGTCTCACAGGCCTCGAGACGCCTTAAGAAAATGACTGGTGGTGGGTGCTGTGCTGTTCTGTCCCAAATCTGAAGGTCAGGCTGAGGTGGGCCAGATGCAAGTCCAGACCAGAGAAGCTCATTGCTTCTAGCAATGCTCAGTCCAGAAACAAGAGGTCACAGGAAAGGGACCTGCTGTGATGGAGGGGTGGTTTTGAATCCATCAGCAGACCATTAAAAAAGCAACTCAGACTTAGCCGTGGAAACCGTTCCAGCCCATAGGGACTGTACAGGACAGAGTGGAACTGCCTCTTGTGTGTTTCTAAGACTTAACTTTTTAACGGGAGTAGAAAACCTCATCTCTCTCCCTGGACCTAGCTGATGGTTTTGAACTCCCTGCCTTGTGGTTAGCAGCCCCAGGCATCACATGACACCAGCAGGACTCCTCAGCAGACCAAGGAAAAGTTTAAGTCATACCCCCTAGGAGGGTAGAGACTAAGGATATACCCCACCATAATCCTATGACAAAAACAATTAAAAACTCATTGCCATTGAGGTGGGATGCTCACCCTACAGGACCGGGTAGAACTGCCCCTCTGAGTGTCCAAGACTGTCACTCACAAAAGAGGTTACGGCTGGAAGCACCGCATGAAGTCATGGGCAGTGTCACCTGTGGTGCGCATACCAGTCCCTGTCACCACTTGGCCCTTGTGTTCTCTGTTTTAGCATGTTTTTCAAAATCTAGAACAATTGGGCTGGCCGTTTTCAAGCTCCGTGGCTCACAGGCGGAAACCCGGTTGTGTTTTGATGACTGTATGGCTGGGGAAGAGCCCCCTCTGGGCTCCCAGAGACTCCTCAGAGCAGCTCAGACAGAGCACGTTGAGTGTGGATCTCAGAAGTAGCATAGCCGTCAGAAGAGGGGTGGGGGCAGGGGATGGGCTATCCGGAGGGATCATTTCCCTGCCATTCCAACCATTTCAGGGTCTCCTTAGCCAAATGGGAATTTGTGAGGGGCTTGCTCGCCTGGCCGGAGGCTTCATTGGCCATGATCCTGTGTCCAGGAAGGGGGGCGCACTCTTCACGCACCGAGCGAGAAGCCTGCTGTTAAGCAAACCGAGCCAGGCATTCTGTGCGGGGCTTGTTGGCCTGTTCCCATGATCACCAGTGCTCCTCAGAGAGAGCACTTGGCGTGTTCCAAGCCCCTTTCTTTGCTGAACGTCCCTGGCAATCGAACGGGTTCCTGGCGAAGACAAGCAAAGGTGTCCGTGTTGGCCGCAGTTGAGCCCTGGTCACCAAGTGTGTCGAAGAGTCGAAGTGGACTCTGTTGGTGTTTGGAGGGGGATTTTTCAGGAGATCACCAGACCTTTCTGCTGAGTTGTGGTGTCTGGGTAGACTTGAACCTCTGACCTTTCCGATGTCAGCGGAATATGTTAACCAGTTGCACCCAGGGGCGACAGGCAGTTGCCATCCACTCCAACTCCCGGGCGCCCCATGTGAGTCAGTGACCCCACCTGAGTCACTGGCTGATGTTTTGGAAGTGGATCACCAGGCCTTTCTTCCAAGGTGCCTGTAGGTAGGCCCAAAACTCTGAGCGCTTCTTTGCGTTGCCCCGTTGATTAAGAAACTATGGAGTGGCGTTTGGGAGGTGAAAAGAGACGGCCAGGTGTTAGACTGCTGTGGATATCCAGTCGCTATTGGTTCATCTCCGGAACTGAGAATACGCTTCAAGGGATTCACAGTTTATTTAACTCTGCGTGGTCTGGGAATGCCCTGCAAGTGCCCGTGAAGGTCTCTGTCTCTGGATGCTCCCTGTGAAGTGATTTACACGTCGGGCTGCTAACTGCAAGGTCAGCAGTTTGAAACCACCAGCCGGAGAAAGGCAGGGCCTTCTACTCCGTAAAAAGTTAGTCTCAGGAACTCAAAGGGGCACTTCTACCAGCCCTGTAGGGTCGCTAGGAGTGCAGGGTCCTTAAGAGAATAAGAGGAAATAAAATTCCAATATAAAGTTTACTATAGGACCACAGAAAGGACCCGTGAGGGTGAGCTGCAGTCACTTCCTGGTGGAGCCGCTGTCTGGCACAGAGCCCCTCTCCAGGTGGGGCAGCTCCTTCAGGGTTTACCCAGCCACTCACCACCCTCAGCCTGTCAGCCAGCCCTGATGCTGACCTCCCTCCTGGCCTCAAGGTGGATGCCTTCATTCCAGCCATCACATCCAGCATCCCAAAATGTCCACTTCCAGAATGAAGAGGCCATCTCATCTCTTTGTTTGTTTTCGAAGGCTGGGAAAACCTTGTCCAGAATCCAACAAGTCTCATTGGTCACAAGTAACGAACAGGCCCCCCTTTAACTGTCCCCTGGTCGGGTGGCACGAGGGCCATGACTGGAGGACACCAGCAGGACTTGCCCTTGAGCGGGGCTGGAAGGTCAAGTTGGGGGCAAGTGTATGTGTGTCGGAGCCACACAGGGCAAATGAGAATGCCTTCATTACCTGTTGGTGAGCTGACATGTCGATAGCTGTGACCCGTCTCGGCTGTTCACTGAAAGGTGACACTTGGGAGCCCTCGGGGCAGTCTCGGTCCAGTACGGTCCTGTGAGTCAGAATTGACTGGGTGGCAACAGGTCCCCCCAAACAACAACCACCACCACCAAACTGGCTGCTATTGAGTCAGCTCTGAGTCAGAGACCCTGTGGGCCCGGCTAGAACTGGCTGTGACTCTACTGGAGTACCGC